AATGTGCCAGGGACTAGAACACTGGTTGGAGAAATGCCATGATTTGCCACATTTGTTCCCATTGGCTATAAGTATTTTTTCTTCCTTCCTGGAAACTTTCTGTGAATTGGCATCAGCCCATAAACCATCATTCTGAGTAACACTGGTTTACAGGTCCTCTACCATCTAGTGTAGCCATATCCCAGTAATTATAAAATAACTAAAAGGTACAGTGGCGCCTTGTTACATTAGTTATAAAGTAAAGTAGTTATACTGTAGTTAATGAAAACTGAACTGATTGCAATTAAACGGTGATTGGAATTAGTTACTTCCCAACTGTATTCTGGTGATATAATAGAGCAGGGATACGTACGTTTAGCTTTTCATTTGCATTCTTTGATGAGACTGAGCTTTATTACAGTTTCTTCTGGGAAGGCAAATGGGTATGCAGCATTCTCTTTGCATCTTTAGGACTATATTAACTTCCTGTTGAAAGGGAGATTATTTGTTTCCAGAAAAGCCACATGGAATTGAGGAATTTATGTTTCTCGAGATGTCTTGCAAATTAAGGATTTTTTTCTTTAAATCTGTGGCTAATCAGATGTCAGTAACTTATAACCATTAGTAGAAACATGATTTCCATCAATTTTATATAAAATTGCTGATGTTGATCTTTCTCAGATTCATAACATTCACCACTTCCAGCAATATAACTTGTTCTATGTATTGTTGCATTGAGAAAAAAGTTATTTACCTGTTGCATACATCAAAACAGTAGTTAGAGATATGCAATGACTTACAGTGGACTACTGAACAAGACATTATTGAAGGAAAAACATCATATCCTTTTCATAAGACAAAACATACAAGGCTCAGTATGTCATTCCTCTTGTCAGTTGCAACAGAACTTTCATCCTCAAGCCTCACACTTCCCCAAAACTAAACAGTTCCTCCCAATCCTGAGAAGTAGTTTTGTAAGTGCATGAGGGCTGCATTGGTGATGGGGGGTCATCTCTCCTGTTTTTTTCTAGGCACCATTGCTTTGTTAAGTGACTGGCCTTATTCAATACTGCCCACAATTTATTACTCATTTGCAAATATGCTTCCCTGTTATTCGGAAAGGAAAAACATTTCTCTTTTGGAGTGATATGTTTGTTTTCTTTCTACAATTTATTTCTGTTTCTCCTGTGTTTGAATGCAAACACAGCATGGGACAGTAGCAGGAGGCCTTCATCTTTACCTTACTCCTGTCTCACTTTTGAGAAAAATAAGTTTTCTTGTCAGATCAAAATCCTTCTGGTTTTCCCACCTTGCTAGACTGCCTCCTCTCTAAGAAAGAATATCCCACTGGCAAGAACCTGTGGAAGCCTGCAGTCTTACATAGCAAAACGATTGGTAATGTACACAAGATTACATTCTAGTGTGACTGTAAAATGCTCCTGTGTTGTTTTTATTGGAGCCAAATTTGATCCCTTAAATATCTCTTCTACCTTCTTGATTTCAGGTCTTCATTATCCTCCTCCTTTTTTAGAACCATTCTATTTCTTAAACTCATTAGACTTCATCTCATGTTACCTTTTCCTGGAGATCCCACAGAGCTACCTTACCCTTTGATCATACCTAAAAGACCTTGCAATAAAACTTTTTAAAAATCTTCTAATTTAGATAGCATAACAAACCACATGTTAGAGCAACACTTGTTGTTCTTCTGAAACAATCTTATATCAAATTTTGGCTGTTTTGACTGACTTATTATGCATTATGCCTCTATGATAACGTTATTTTAGTGTCTTGTCTGTCTACCCTTTCACTGAATTTATCATGTGGCCTAAACTGCCTGTGCTCAAAAGTGAAATTAGGAAGTAGCATAGATATCAAAACCCAGCATTTATTACTCTTTCCTTAAAATATTTACAACAATGGTAGGCAGATTTTTCTAAAGTTGCACTTGATAGTTGTATGTTTCCTGACTGATATTTTGTCCTCACCTTTTCTCTCTGTTCCCACTGTTGATGGCATCTGTCATGAAAGGTTTTAGTAGTATCAGGTCTGTGCTATGTTCAGTGAGCTGTAAAGAAGCCCTTAGTGATAAATATAAAGTTGTACTTTTGGGATGTTTTGATTTTAGGCTACAGCTGTGTATCCTAACTTAAGACATAAAAAGTTTTTTTTTAAAGTGCTTCGTTATTAGTCATCTATTCTATTTTGAAAAGTGGATTTTACTTTTTTCTACATTTTGTGAAGTTTATAGGTCAGAAGTGTAGTATTTCTGAAGTGAGTAACTTTTGAGTAGGATTTCCAAGTTACTTTTATCTATATATAGATTATCAGTATTTTCATCAAGTGAAATTGATGGGTCTGCTTTGAAAATGTAACTTGTACATGTCTGGTACTATCTACTTTTGTCTAGTATTCGGTAAGGTAGTCTTGCACATAGTGTGTAGTTGTGAACAGATACAGGATATGTTTTAAGTACAGGCAGCCCACAAGTTACAGACATCCATCTTACGAACAACTCATAGTTAAGAACAGGTGAGACAACAGGAAGTGAGAGAAATCTACCTCTAGGAAGGGAATATAATAATAATAATAATAATAATAATAATAACAACAATTCACTCCTGAAGAGATATCATAGGAAAAGGGTGTCTCAACTGAAGCTTTCTTACCAATCCTTGTTTCCACAAGGACTCCACCACACTCCAAGGCAGCATATTCCACTGCCAAAGTGAAGTAGAAACTCGATTCAGAGTACTTGGGAGAAATAAATAACCTGGAATACTTGGCATACCAATAGAGCTGTTTCAAGCTACAGCAATTGAATTTAGTCAAATTATTACTAAAATCTGTGAGGAAAAATGAAAACAAAGAAGGGCCACAGATTGGAAACAATTCCTTATCTTTGTTGTCACTTCGTTGATCAGTAGGAAGGATCAGGATTTGAGCTTTCCCCCTAGCTTAAAATGGGACAAGGTCATATTAAGGTAGTCACGACCTGGGCTAAATTGAAACAGCCTCATGTGGTGTATAGCTGTCAAGGGGCTGATCCAAAGACAGGCAGTCCCCAAGTTACAAACATCCATCTTACAAATGACTCATAATTAAGATCGGGGGTGAGACAACAGGAAGTGAAGGAAAATTTGCTCCTGAAAGAGTTATCATGGGGAAAAGATATCTCAACTAAAGCTGTATCACTAATTCTTGTTTCCACAACAAACCAAGTTTTTCACAATCCAATTTTCACAGGGACAGAAAGTGAGGTGAACGCTCCGGAACAGGGGCACACACAACAAAACAAACACCACATGAGTTTTCACCCATTCCTATGCGATCCAAAGCATGCTCTCTCTCTCTCTCCCTCTCTCCCTATATGACTGGTCCAACTTACATACTAATCCAAGTAACGAACCTATCTTGTTTGTAACTTGGGGGGGGGGGGCTGCCTGTATAATCAAAATAGCAAATTGGAGCCACTCTTACTATTTTCATGAAAGTTTTAAAGTGGTAAATTGTATTCTCATATTTGCATCAGTTACTGTTCTACCGAAAGTCTGGAGTAACACAGAATATTTATAGCCACAGAGAACCCTAAAATAAACAACAATTGAAAGTAGATGAGCTAAAATAAACATGCCCTTGTAACTATTGTATATATGATACATCTGGATGAGGAAAACAGACAAAGCTTCCTTGCATGTATTTTCTGAATGACAGTGAAGAAGTGGACAAAAAGAGCCAAATCCAGGTTCCTTTATTTTGGAAAAAGAAGTTGTCAGAAATGAATTCATGTTTCTAGAGAAATTTAAAGAGCAATGGACCTTAAACATGAGTCTACATTTCAGTAGGATCCCCACTATCGGAAAGTATAAGGATCTTTTCCCCCACTTGGGCATTGCTTCTGAGCTTTGGCTGCCAAGTTTGCTTCATGGCTACTAAAACTATTTAACCTGACTTATTGAGAGTTCCGTGTTTGTTCTTGATAGAGAAGCAGAAAGTATGTTTGTTCTTGGTAGGGAGGCGAATGTCACACTATTGAGAAATATGAGGAAGAAAAAGATCTGAGTAAATGACAGTATTACGAAGGGTGAAAAATAGAAGGAGGAAATGAAAAATATAATCCATGAAAATAAATATTGGTTTAATTGAATATTGAAACAGCATTTCTATTGTTTCATTATTTATATTAAACAGTAGTCATCCATAGTGGTTCTTGATGAGGGTGTAAGCCCTTCTGTTAGCCAAAAACCTTAAAGAGGGATATTAGTAAGCTCCTAGTCTTTGAACCATCAAATGTTGCTGTTAAAGCTCTTCACTATAGCCTAGATTTGAGGTAATATACAGCATCCATGTCATCTATCAAATCATAACCAATTTAATGGTGCTATCTGACTCTAATTTATTGGATATTGTTTATTTTTGATTAAAATGTTTGTTTTTAGATCTCATGTGTAATGGGGATTAACACTTACTCTCAGTTGGAATTTAAACTGTATATTAAGCTTTCATTGTTTAATGCTGTGCACTAGCACCAGTTACTATAGTTTCAGAGCTAACTATAATTGACACTGGGCTGGTTTTCATAGTGTATTTTAAGCATGTGTTTTATCTTAATAAAAGACATGTTTAAAATTTATTGTTATTATATTAAATTACCTGCTGTAATAGTTTCCATTAAATATAGAGGAACAGTAAATATTACTTTGTAAATAGCAACTGTGGCATGACTTTATATTTGTGGTCATTATTTCTGCATTTGCTAGCTTTAAACAAACAGCAGTTCCAATCCTAGCAAGTAATTTTAGACAAATCTAGTGAGAAGTATTTAATAAGGTAATTTGAAAAATAAAATAAAATCAATTATTTGTACAGTGCAGGAAATGGAGCAAGGAAATGTAGCTTGAAGGTTTGAAATTCAACCTTGGTGTGGATGAGGGTATCAATGAAATCCACTTACAGTCACAGATTCCGAGCAATATTCTTATTTAAAAAGATAAAAATATTTTCTTTAAAATAAAACTTACCTAGCAGATGAAGATAATGTTGAGATGCTCTGTCTCCAGAAATACTCCCCAGGTAGTATTCTGTATTAGAAAAGCCTTGTGCACAGTACCTTTGCAGTTTCCTTTCTCTGTCTCATTTGGTGCTGCTGCTTCATTTTGTTACTGCTTGCTTCCAGTTGCTCCCAGTTATTCCAGATCCTTGGGTGGCTCTCCAAATGGTATATCAGATTATTCTTCCTTTGAGATGCCACAGAAAAGCAACGGGCTTTTCATCTTCTTAAACAATAGAGACAGATGTAGCAAATCTTGTTAACTCTGATGTTCATCATTTATCAAATATTAATTGAAAGCTTTAGTATTCAGTAAATCCCATCTGGTTTTCTCACATGAATTCCAATACTGAAAACTTCTTTCTCTTATCCATTTTGTTGAAACTGTGTGTTTTCTTGCAAGGCAGGATCATTGGGCTGAAGGTTCCGGCTTAACTTTTTACCTGCACAGCCTGCTTTTGGTAGCGGATGTTGAACAGTCTGCTTTTCTGTGCTTCTGTCAGGCACAGATGTGAAATGCTGCTTGCCAACAGGGGAGAAACTCCCAAAGGGTGTAGTGTGTTGTGTCATATCTCAAGACAGTGAATACTCATTGCATCAATGAGTTGTTTATATGAGCTATTCAAGTCAGGCACTGGACTGGTAGGATGACGTTTTCCATACCTAATCCACTAATTTTTTGTTCTGATGGACAGCAATGTCTACTGGCAGGAAGAGAAAGAAAATGATTTTACAAGGTTTGATATGTCCTTTCTGTCTGAATGGGTTGTCATTCTAGAAAACCTGCTATTAGTGAAATTGACAAACAGATTTTTATGCAGCAAATGTTTTGGGAAAATGCTTTCCAAGTAAGCTTGGAGGTGGGGGTGGTAGCGAGCTGATATTATCTAAAAACAATTGGAATGGGAAAAGTGTAATTCAAGTTTTTAAGTGGTTTGAATAATGTATTTTAAAATGTGTACTTCAAATCTTTTTTCTATCTTTAAAAATATATCTCTTTGGAAGTAATTTTCATCGATTTTTGTAGTTAATGCTTAGGATTACATTCTAAATAGAAATGCATTTCAAATTTCTCTTCTCCTCCCGGAATATGAGTTCTTTACTTAGGGATAGTTGTTGGATTTAATATTTTAATGAAATGTTCACTTTAATGCCATGTGAATAATGCTAACCTTTTCTGTAATTAATATGCATTGTTTGATGCAAGCAAAAGGCACATAGGGATAACTCACTTCAGAAACAGGTTTGAACACTTCTATCATCAGATTGTTTTCATCATTAATTTTATCACCAGACTAATTTTATGAGTTAAGTTTTAAGAATGATTTTTTTCTTATTTTTTTCTCTGTCACACCAGGAATGGGAAAACCTGTCTTAGACCCAAGAAATGCTCCTGTTAGTAGCAAGGTTACTTGAGTGGACTTTCTTGCACAGGACTCTTCTGGAGGCAGGACAGAAAGGAGGGATTATTTTAAATTAATTCCTCCCCCCATGCCCCCCCCAACTTTTCTGTTCATATTGCACTTCAGTAAATTCTCTCCAGATGACCCAGGGCACGTATATAGGAATTGGAGTATGTGAAAATGCCCAAACTTCCAGCAGGAATGTGAGTTGGACCACAGTTCTTCCTGCAGGTGGAAGGAGCACTCTCTTTTGCTAAGAGTTAGCATCCAAACCATGGGTAAAAAAAATGTTTAGGAAAGATGAGAAAAAAAAGATGTGAATGAATTATTGACAGGGAGGTGACCATAACATTAGCATTTATAACCAAAACATCATAATGTTATCCTGTCACTAGCCAGGTTATCCTCTTCCCTTGCCTAGTTCATCTTATAGTTAATGATGGTTATTGGTCTAACTCTGTCCTATATTATTTTTATTTGATTTATTTCAAATACCCTAAGCCAAAGATAAGATACTTGGAACCAGTTTATTCAATATAATTAATTTACTGTATTTATACCCCACCATTCATACCCTGAAGGGGACTCAGAGTGGCATACAAGTAGGCAAATATTCAGTGCTCCATAAACAGACATACTAATAAAAAGCATATATATTAAAACCCCCAAAGTTTTTTTAAAAATCTAAACATTAAAACCCATAATTAAAACCACACAATCCAAAATCATAGTCCAGGAGCCATTCCAGTCATAATTGCACTTATTCCATATCCTCTTATTGCGCTGAATTATTGTTCAAAGGCTTGTTTCCACAGCCATGTTTTAATTTCTTTCTAAAGGTCAGGAGGGAGTGAGCTATTCTGATTTTGCTGAGAAGGGAGTTCCACAGCCGAGGGGCCACCACTGAGAAGGCCCTGTCTCTCGTCCTCACCAATCACACCTACGAAGGAGGTAGGACCGAGAGCAGGGCCTCCCCAGAACATCGACGAGGTTCTATAGAGAGAGATAATGTTTGGACAGGTAAGCTGGGCCAGAACCATTTAGGACTTTGTAGGCTATAGCCAGCACTTTGAATTGTGCTTGGTAGCAGATTGGCAGCCAGTGGAGCTGATATATGCTCCCTGTATTCTCCCCAATATAATTTTTGTAGATGGGTCATGATCAATTAAGACAATAGGAAAGTCTCATGCTTCTGATAATATAGCTGGGATATGGCCGTTCTGTTTGTTTGTTTGTTTGTTTTGTTTTTTATGTGTGGCAAGGTTGGAATATGAGTTTAAAGAATACTAATTCTTGACCTTGAAAAGAAAGATGTCTTGACATGCTGAGATATTTCATTGTGTTAATGGTTCCAAAATACTGTTTTTGTGCAAAAATCATCAATATTACCAAAGTTTGCTCAGGTAGCACACATCTGAAGGCATTTTACAAGAACATAGAAAAATGTTGATTGTGTGTATGTACGTGTGTTTGTAACCTCACAAGTATATCAATATTAGAGGCTTATGGAAATCATGATTAAATCTTGAACATTTCACTCTTTAGAATTAATTACGTTTTCTTGTTTTGAATATTCTCTCAGATGTTGCCTTACAAATAGAATTGAAGGAGGTAATTATTTGGGGTGATTGGAACCTGAATTTGGCCAAACATGCTTCCTTGCGTTTTATGTTGTCTGAACTTTGCTTCTGTTTGAATACAACTAATCAAAAGAACTGATAAGATGGCAAATACTGTGAACACCCCTTTCACCATCTTCAGATCTGTTGCTATCGAATTCTTTCTACCATAGTAATAGCTTCCTAGAAAACATTTAGATTTCATTCTCATTTATTATGAAACTGGCAGAAGACTCCCTCACAATCATGCTTTGGTCATAGGAAAGACCAACTTTCAGAAATGTGTCCATTAAGAAAAATGATGGCAAGCCAGTCAAGCATTGGCAAAGGTTAGTGACACCAGAAAATTGTATAGTATTTGTAGTGAATATGTTCATAAAGTAATTTCAAAACATTTGACTTAATAAAAATTGAGAAGAGATTATTGGTATCAGTAGAAGAGAGATATTTATGGGATGGGAGCAGAAAAAAAACCCCTGTGGAAATTTGCCTTTAAAAAAATCTTTTGGTTAAACACCATCCTGATTGTGAAATACTAGGAAGACCTTTATACTTACCATATTTATAACAGATGGTGCACATCTGTTTTGTCTGTGTTTAATGTGAGTAGATTCAGAGATGGACAGATGAGTATATTTGTGATTTTAGAATGTAATGTTAATTATTTCCTGATCTTTTTGTGAATAGTTGCAGTTAAAATCAATATAATAAGTCTCTCCTATTTATTTTGTTAATTATACTTCTGTGTGTTTTGTGGGATCAGTTGTGCTTTTATGCAGTAATTATTTGATATTTCTTTTAAAATATAATAGTTCTACTTTATGAAGTGACAATGTGATTATTATTCAACTTAATTAAATCAGACTTTAAAAGTGTCATTTTAATAGGTAGTTCAATCTTTTTAAAGTTGTTTTATTTGTTGGTCGTTGTGTGCCTTCAACTGACTTCTTACAGGATCCTATCACATGGTTTTCTTGGCAGAATTCATTTCCTTTTGCCTTCCTCTGAGAGAGACAAAGTGTGATTTATCCTAGGTCATCCAGTGGGTTTCCATGGCCAAAGGGAGATTTAAATCCTCATCTCCAGGGTCAAAACCACTATATTACACTGGCTATCTGATATAATGTGTAGGTTATATTATTTGTCTTCAGGTGTTTATGATAGTTTTTGTTTTTTTTTAAATTAGGTAAATAACAACAAGAACAACTTCTTTATTCTTGTACCCCGCCTCCATCTCCTCGAAGGAACTTCAGCGGCTTGCAAATGGCACGAAGTGCCTAAAACAGAGCATAAAATAAACACAGTACAATACAAAAAAGTAAAACATATAGCATATAAAACAATTGAAAACTCAGAACAACATCCAAAACCTATGATGACAACTATTGTAAGACATGGTCAGGCTGTAAACAAGACAAGGGAATGGGATGGAGCAAATCAGAGCTAAGGAACAAGGGCACAGGATGAAATTGCAGTGCCTTTGTCATTGATTGCAGACCATTGTGTCTAGACAGTCTCAAAGGCTTGTTTAAACATCCAAGTCTTCAAATCCCTAAGGAAGGACAGTGTGGGTGGCCTGTCTAATCTCCCAGGGGAGGGCATTCCAAAGCAGGGGGGCACCACCAAGAAGGCCCTCTCCCTTGTCCACACCAACTGCGCTTGTGACAGTGGCAGGACTAAGAGGGGGACCTCACTGGCAGATCTTAATGCTCATGCAGGTACATAAATGGGGGTGCGGTCACAAAAATAGGCAGGGCCTAAACTGTTTAGGGATTTATAGGTAATGACTTGCACTTTGAATTGATACCGGAAACTTATCGGCAGCCAATGGAGCTGCTTTAATAGGTGCATTGTGTGCTCCCTATAACGAGCTCCAGCTAGTAACCTGGAGCACACATATGCACAATACTACTTTAGTTTAGATGTTTTGTTATAAAAATCCATCCTTTCTTAACATTATTTTAAAGATACAATTTTTAATGGTAAAATTAACTCCAGTGATTTT